ATGATCCTCTCGTGAAGTAATCCTGAACATGAATGATGTAACTTATTTCCATGGGAAGATATTTTTGATGTCTTTGACACAAGACTGGCTTCTCTGGAGGATCAACTAGGGACTGGTTTGAAGGAGTATGAAGTCTTTTTCCAAACCCAAATATTTTAAGGAGGTTGCATAAGTATCAAGAGGAACTGAGAACATTTCAGGCAAAATCCAATGCTTGTTTAAATGTTCTTTTTCCAGTCTACCATAGTGTTAAAGTCCTTCTAAAGTTATTAGTTATGTGCATAGGGTTCAATATGAAATCATTAGTGCTACTGCCTTATTTCTTGCTTTGAGAATGTACTCACATGACAATGAGCTGGTATTCTTAAGTGTTGGGCGAAGTTTCTGAAGATGCCTTGCAGGATGATTACATAATTTTAGGGTCTAAATAGTATTCATTACTGAAACTAATAGTTCAATTTTAACAACTGCAGAACACATCCTTACAACTTTTCAAAAGAATTAAACCATTGTAGTTTAAACAAAACCATATTGTAGAGGTTTGTATTTAGCGCTTATTTTTGCATGTTGATGTTGATTAGCTAATAAAAGATTGTAAATGTAAAACATGTTAATAAAAATTGTTTTCCATTTCTTGATTATATAAAATTAGAAAGCTGTTTTGTGTTTAAATGTACAAGAAATTATCTCTCCTTACTCTTAAAAGGAGTGCAACTTCCAAGTGTTGAATTTCAGCGTTCTGCAAGAGTAAAAAAACAAAACAAAAACACAACACAAACAACCAACCAAACAAAAAAAGGCCATACAATAACCATAAATGTTCTTCAAAGCATTTCAGTCAAATAACTATTTTTGGTTTAAACTTTTCATGTATGAACAGTATACTCTAGGGTTTTTTCTGTCTCTTCCCAGAAAGCTGGCTACTGTCCTAGAGCCTTTCTGTTAATAAAATGTTGTGGGTGATGGTAGGTGTGGGTTTTGGTGTGTGACTGAGTGCTGTAAAGAATGCTAACAAAGCATAGTCAAGGGACCACAGCTTCTGTTCATGTTCAACACTTAGAGATCACAGATACATCTAAACTGACTGGAACTGTAAAGGCGGTGGGGTCTGAAAAGGTTCCATTTTCAGGAAGCATCACTGTTGATGCTTCAGGAAAGGTATGTCTGGACCACTGCAGAGCTGCCAGCTTGGCACAGGTCAGTGTTCCTGCACTTCCTCCTGGAAGGGTCTGTTTCTCTCTGTGTTTTCTCAAGTGACAGATTTAATGACTCCTTAGGAACAAAAGCAATGTGCCAAGAGTAAGTGGAAGCAGATAATGAGACAACTTACATCAGGAACTGGAATAATTTGCTATCAGTTAAGCAGTAACTGGTCTCTTCCTTTCTCAGGGGGCAAGAATTGGAGCATCCTAAACTCATAAGGAGAGGAGGTGTCACCCTGGGGAGCAGTGTTACTCAAACCCAGGTGGAGCAGTATCTGCATTTCTTTGGGAGACCATTTGCAGCTTCCCTGCAGAAGGGCAAGGTCAGCTTTGGGGATGGCAACCTTGCTTCTCCCTGCTTTACAGAAATGCATGAAGGCCAAAGCAGGAAAGAAGCAGTAGATTTCTGTTGACCCTGAGGGAATGTGTGGTAACTGCATGGCAATTGTAGGGCATGGAAGTTGTTGCTTTTGCTTCTCTAAGTACTGGTTAGGGCTGTGGTTTCCTGAGATTTCAGCCCTTTTTGATTTCTGTGGCCTGAGCAGAGTGGTGGTAAAATCCACATTCCCAAAAAAACCCCAACTAACTGGGAAGGGGAGGAGTGGAGAGCAGCTGTCCTACAAGGAGGGCCTCCATTTATGGGAGGTGTGATTCCAGAGGGCCAGGTGCCAACGTGAGGACTCAGTCCCTGATGGTGTGTTAGAAAGGAGGTGTTCCAGAAGGAGCGTAGGGGAGCTTCAGCTGTTTGTGAGCTGTGATTGCTCACTTCAGAAATCTGCAGTCAGACAACCTTCTCTGACTGCAGACAGGCCTGTTTGAGACAGCTGTAACCTCCTTCCTGGCCCCTCTGAACTGTGCCAGGCTGCTCCCAGGGTTGCTCTGGCATGGGTTTGGAAGCCTTCCAGCTGTATAAGGGTCAGAAATGGTGGCGGGGCTGGATTGCTTTGGTGCAGCCTGGAGCCCTGGTTTGCATTCCCTGGCTGCTTTGTGCAGCCTTGAGCTCAGGATCCAGCAGAGGTGTCAGTTCACAGCTCATCTCACAGACATCAAACCAAGAGCAGCAGGTGGCTCAGGGTGAGTATAAAGTTATTTGAAATGGTAGAGGTTCACTAGTAAAGTGAAGGCTGTCTCCTCTCAAGGTCTGGCTGAGCTGGAAATGAACAATAAATATAATAATATATAATGGCCAGTCTTCGCGAACGAAGATCTGGGGAAAGGTCTTTTACCTTTCCAGCCTGCGCAATGGATTTTTTAGGTGAGACACAGCCTGCGCTGAACTGAGCCCACCCTTTAATCCTAAGGTTCATCTGCCGGGGCCAAGCAAGCTTGGACAATGGCAGTGAGGTCCTCAGGACGTAGGTTTGTTTAGAGTGACCTTCTCTTAGATGGATGGCCTCACAGGCCTAACGGACTCCATCTGCCCGGGGGACTGGCTGGATTTGAACCTGGGTCGCAGCAGTGAGAGTCCTGCACGCTAACCACTAGGCCACCAGGGGTCCCCCGGAAATGAACAATATCCTTCACTGTAATGTTTTTTTCAGTCTTGCCAGGCAATTAAACAAAATGAGACTTGAGGCTCTGGATTTTGGTTACAGTGTTCCTGTTTGAAGGCAACAGTTTTGTCCCGTTTGTGGTCAGGGCAGGTTCCTGTGATTTCCACAATTACATGGGGGGTGAGAATTGCCTTAACCTTTCCTTCTGTTTGTTGTGGTCCAAACCCCTACTCTGAATGCTGAATGTTTCCCAGTATTGTGAAAGGAGAGATACTGGTCACTGTTCACAGTGCCATGGGTCTCTTTTGTACCTGTTTCAGCTTGAAGTGTTCCATTATCTTCCAGGCTGAGAAGGGTTCAAGATGCTGAGGTCACAACACTTTGTAGGTAGGAAGCAGTGGAGCTGATACCAAAATCAGGCAAAAAATTTTGCAGGAAGCTTGAAAGACTGATGGACTGGTATGGTTTTGTTTGGGTTTTTTTAATGTTAGCATGGCCTTTCCTGCTCATTAATAAAATTACTTCTTGGGGAAAAAAAAAAAAGATTATTTGAGAGAGGAAGAATGAGAAAATTACAGCTGGAATTATGCCAAAAGGAAGCCTTTGAACATGCTTAATGGACCACTGTTCAGAAAAAAAAGGGATACTTTGACTTTCTTTTTTTACAGCTTCAGATAGCCTGAGCAGAGTGTGTTGGGAGATGCACCAAACACTTATCGAGGATGCTTTGAGACCCACACTGTGACATTGTGCAGTGTGCAGTGAGTGTGGCACGATAGACAGGTCACTCAGTAAAAGAAAATGAGTATTTAAATCTCTTCTGTCCTGTTTGTTTATGTTCCATGATGAGGTATTCTGAAGTTTTGCACCAAATAGACCCCAGCCTAGATCAGCATGATAGTTGATCAAGTCTGATCTTGTCTGACCCTTGAACAGATGAACTGCCAGTAGTTTCTTCTAGTCACTGAATGCTATAGTAATTCCTTGTTTCTGATTGATGATGAGGGATATCTGTGGGTGGGTCAGAGATTTCCCCTGGATTTCCCTGGCATTATGCTTTCCCAAAGATTCAGTGTCTGGTTGGTTCTGCAATATGCATCAGCCATGCTGAAAGGCAGCATTTTATTAATTTAATCATTTCTTTTAAAGACCTGGCCCTCTTAGCTAGGCTCTAAGGAGTTTTCAGCAGCTCAGCTTTCTCTTAGTTTTAGGAAGAGATCTAAGATGGGCTGAGCTGGGCAGCAGAATCTCTTCTTACCTCTTTACTGACACATCTTCTTATAGCCAGGTAGGTTCTGTAAGTGGAATTAAACATCTCTGGCACACAGTCAGGGAAAGAAAATTTGCCATCAAGGCCAGCACAAAGGAGGAAGAAGCTACAGTTTAGTTACTGTTGGATGTGAGGGCTGAAGAGGTTTTTGGCACAGGTGTAAAGCCAACACAAAATAGTTCTACATTACAGCCACCTTTTGTGAGAAGTTCAGTGTGTATCTGATCTAGACACTGCAAAAACCCCTCATCTAAAGAGATCTAGTCCTGACCTCAGTTTGAACTGAAGCGCTAAAGACTCTGTACGTGGAAGTTCTTAATATCAAAAATTAAATTAATACTCATTCCTCGCTGGGGACGAGTTGATTTCACTGAGGAGCTCACAGTTTTGAACAAGATATTTCAGATTCCACCATACAAACCTGCTATGTGAACGTGTAAAAATTATCTTGTAAAAATTGACATGTAAAAATTATCTTAAACCAGAGGAAATCAGCTGTCACATAAGTAGCACCACAAGAAGAAAAATAGGAAATAGCAGAACAACAAGACACAGGAAGGGCTGCTGAGCAAGAAAAGCTGTTGGGTTTGACTCAGTAAAAATGAGATCAAGCAGCAGGGTAGAGTTAAGAAATCCCATCAGCCAGTTATCTTTCAAAGAGATTAAAATACCTTCAGCTTTTTAAAGTGCAAGTATAAGAAGAAAAAATGAACATGAAAGCACTGTGTGATAGAGATCCAGACTTGATTACAAAACTGCACCCAGCACCTTGCTCCTAATAAAGACGGCAACGTGTGACATCGGTGGGCGGCGTGGAGCGGGAGATGCACTGAGAGAACCAGAAATAACTCAGCAACATGGAAGGGAAAAACATTGTGCCCAGTTATAGAAACCAAGTGATCAGGCTCCTGGGATTGTTAATTGTTCAGATCTAATGGAAAGAAGCCGTTCCAGTATCCAACCTGGGAATGGTATCACATAGAATCAAAAAGTGATTGGGCTTGGAAGGGACCTTGCAGATCATCTCATTCCAACCCCCTGCCGTGGGCAGAGACACCTTCCACTAGACCAGGTTGCTCAGAGTCACATCCAGGCTGGTCTTGAGCACTTTCAGGGATGGGGCACCCACAGCTTCTCTGTGGGGCCAGCCAGGACGCTACAATCTGTTCCAGTGTCTCACCACCTGAAGAAGTAAAGAATTTCTTCCTAATATCTAATCTAAACCTGCCCTTTAAACCCCGTTTAAAGCCATCCCCCCTTGTTCTATCACTCCATGCCCACGTAAACAGTCCCTCTCCAGCTCTCTTGTAGCTCCATTTAGGTCCTGGAAAGGGCTCCAAGATCTCCCCAGAGCCTTCTTTTCTCCAGGCTGAACAACCACAGCTCTCTCAGTCTGCCCCCAGAGCAGAGGGGCCCCAGCCCTCAGAGCATGTTCATGATTCTTCTCTGGACTTGCTCCAGCAGGTCCACATCTTTCTTATGCTGGGGCTGCAGGGGGCCCTGGTGCTGCTGTGCTGGAAGCTGGAGCACAGTCCTCGTGGTTCAGGTTGTCTCTCTTGCACTGCAGCTGGAGCAGAGGGAGCACTGAGCTGTTCTGTTTCCCAAATTAACGAGGAAAACCAAAGCTGGTTAAGTTGGGGATAACGCCCAAGGTGCTGGAACCTACATCTGTACCTACTCTTTTCACCTTATTTCCTATCCTGTAAGATTAACTTTTATGTTGTGCATTTCTCAAGGAAATAGTTTTACCTACCCCACAGGGCAGAGGATCAGATTTTCCCAGGAAAATCATCTGGGTTTCCAGCCAGGACTTTTCCCTGACAGAGCCAGAAGGAAGAAGGAGGAGGAAAAGATGATTAAGGCTATTCACTTCAGGACAAAAAGGTCATTAACTACCTTAAATGTTTTGTTCCCCACCCATAGAGATTAAGCAGGATCACAAAGACAAATTCCCCCAAAAGAAATAAACAGATAATAAAATCAGTAGACAGTTTCTTTTTCCTTCTTTGCAAACCACAACAAGACAAATCGCTCAGAAGAACGAGGACCAGAGCTGTGGGAAGTTCTTCAGGGTGCCCAAACAGGCAGGTTTGGAACCCCTGGCTGCTTGTTGCTGCCCCTCCTTTTGGAAGATGGGGTGATTCCTTGGTAGGAGCTGTTTTGCTCTGTGGTGTGGGGGAAGAGGCTGTTTCTCCACAAGGATCGTGCCATGATTTTCTATTTTAAACTGTGCACACTCAAGAGTCTCATTGTCCTGCTCATCTGTGCACAGGAGCTCAACATACTATTTGATCCTCTTTGTGGCCTTAAGGAACATCAGCTTACAGGGCTGGCTTCCACCATAGGAAATGGAGAGGAATTCAGGCCAGGGGGTGAGGGATGCAGCAGGAGAGCATCTCTGTGGGCGGCTGCTGGAGAGAGCAAAGAAGCAGCTTGTGGGTGGTTCGTGCTGCCTATGGGAGCTTCAGAGACACTTGAGCAGTATGGGGATGTCTGCTACGGAGGGAAGGGTAACCCACAACTGAGTCCAGCATCATATTCCTATTTCAGGACTATTACAGCCTTATTCCTGACTCTTTTCTGGAGTCAGCATGAGGCTTGAGCCAAACGGCGTTGGAGTCTCTGGAGTCTCTAATCGAATCTTGCCCTCAGAGCATTTGCAACTTGCCCATGCAGAGGGTGCTATACACTGCTAACCTGCATGTGGGGAAGCTGAGACACAGCCAGCTCCAGGAGGAACAGCCCTGGAATGGGATGAAGTGTGTAGTCTCATCTTGTTAGATGGTCAGACAGTGAAGAAGAGATCAGATTTGATATTGTTGATGCAAATCTGTTGGCTTTTTTTTTCCCAGCAGCACTTTGTAAACGTTGATCTCAGATATACATCCCCTCTGATGATCCAGGCTTTGTGGCATCTGTTTTCTTTGAATGTCACTGTCATATCCATTGCCAGCTCTGTAGCTTCAGTGCTGCATTATTCTACTCCAAAAACACAGTGAATAAACAGGGTGCTGGTTTTATAGGAGAGCTAATGATTTGATTTAACTACCAAGTACAGAGAAAAGCCCAGAAGCTACAACTGAATTGCTGTTTTGCTCCTTCAGTGAGTAACAGACCTTCTTTGACACACCTAATTGTTATAGTAATTGGAAAGAATGTCACCTGCCCTGTTAAGAGAGACATTATCCTACCCTTGGCCAAAACCTATTCCCTGTCTCTCTGTTTGAAGCCTTCTGAGGAGGAGGTAAAATTAAGAATTCCTCATTGAAGTAAGATTAGCAGTTGCTGCATCCATAAATACCTGTCTTATTCTAAACCCATTAGCAAAGGATAATGACTGGTTTCTTTGCATTGGGAAACCATAAATAACATCACCTCTGATCTCTGTGTTTGAGGGTGTGATGCTGGAGTAAATTTTGATCTGAATAAAGTATTTGTCTTAATTCTTTCCCTCCACACCTTGTATTTCCAGGAACAGCATTAAAAGAAATCAGAGTGCTGGTACCATTTTTGTCTTGGCTGAAGAAGCCAAGCAGAACCTTTGGGGCAGTGAACCTGTCACTGAACCTTCAGGTGGCTATTTAAAAACTATAATTGCAAAATAACACCCTCATCTAGGATCACTATCAGGTGAAGTGATACTAAAGCATCTAGGCCAAAATGTAAAGTCTCACAGAGCAACAGTTTTTTGAATGTTCTACAGCTTTGTGCAAATCCCATTAAATTTACCAGTATGGATCAGCTCTGTTAAAATACCAAAGATTAAAAACGCAGCCTCACAACTTCATCTGCTCCAAGCAGCCTTCCCTGCTAAGGGCATTTAGAGGGGCTGCTCCCATCATCACAGGAACATTCCCATCACGCTTATCTGTCCTTAGGGAATTGAGTCTTGAAATTGGGAACATTCTTGAAATCTTACAGTAGTTGCTTTTATTTCAAGGACACTTCAAAGAGCCATAATATCCTTTTTCTTAATTCTGTTTGCAAAATACTCTCCCTCTATGCTGTCCCCTCTCTAGGGTCCACTGACAACTCCATTGCATAAGTAGCCAGAGCTCCTGCTTTAACATTTACTGTCTGAGTCACCAGGATTTTCATGTCCTGCCATCTCTGTTTTGTGTAAAAAGTGCCTTCCAAAAGAGCCAGGGGCAATAGATCTCCAGTGTTCTGATTTTAGATGTTGAGTCTCAAAACTATTTACAATCCAGGGCTGTTTGGTTCGAGCACATCTGTCAGAAAAACATCATCATGAGACAGAGAATCTGTTTCCTCACTGGTAAAATATGTGCCTGGTTTCCAGTCTGAATTCATCTTTTGTTTCTTGTGTTTTTCACTGCTATACTCGGAATCATTTCATATGTGATATTTTTCCCTGAAGATATTTTTATTTTATGAACAAGTTGCCTCACAATAATCAAAACTTATTTAAATCTTTACTAATAGAAGGTATTGCAAGTGTTTATTTTCTCCTATTTGTTCTTGTATCCTTCCTATATGTAAAGGATTTTTTAAAGAACTTTGTAAAGTGTGTATTATTTTAGTATTTACCAGTCTGTTTACACATTTTACAGAGCTTATACTACTCAATGCTTTTTGTTATTGCTCTGGAACTGTTTAACCCTGCTGTTCCCACACTGATTCAATATAATAGACACATATTTGAAATTTGCTTGTGGTTCTGAAATAGGAAGAACTGCTGCTTTTCTAAGAAGTAAATGCAGAACAGAGATCAATGCTAAAATATTCCTGTGTGGTTCGAGGCCTGTGATACTTTTGAAGAGACAACACAGTGTATTTTTGCATCATACACATTTCCTTCCTGAAGGTTTTTATTGCACCATTTGAAGCAGAGCCCAAGCAGTGATAGAAGCATATGGAGATGAGAGAAACCATATTGATTGCAGGTAACTTGGAATCCTTGCCTGTAGGAAGTAAAGTTACGCTGTGTTTACACACACGTAAGTGAACCTCTCAGCCTTTCCATCTTTTCCTCTGGAGCCACCTGAACCAACCCTTGTTTATGGTGCCCAGGGCAGTGTTTTGGCAACTCAGTTGTGATTTCAGTTCACCACCACTGGCCTTTCAAGAAAGAGCCACTTCTGTGCCAGGTGCAGGTTTTTCAGTTATGATACGAGGGGGAAAGAAGTTTTTTTGCCACATTTTTGGTGCAATCAAACTTTTTTCATTAATTTCTTAAAAAGCTCAAATATCTTCCATATTGAGGTTTGTTTATTGGCTTTAGAGTTTGGAAAGGAGGGGGATTTGTTGGGTTTTGTTTTGGGTTTGGGATGGGTTTTACTTGTTTTAGGTGGTTTTTTGGTGGGTGTTTGTTCAGCAGAAAAGGCGAAGTGTGCCAGGAGATGCTCTTAATGCTCTAAATTTTTCTGAAAGTTTTGCTACATCCATTTTCCTCTACAAGCACAGGGAAAGCAGTGAGTCATTCTGCTTGGAAAATGCCTCAACCTTCAGTGTTTTCTCAGAGGGATGTGTTCTCTTTTAAATTGTCATTAAAATTAGTTTCCTTGGTGTGATACACAGGAATGCTTTGTTCAAGTAAAATATCTTCTTTGCCTATTTTATTGGGAGACTGTGATCAAGGTAAAGATTCTGATCTGTTCAAAGACTTATTCCTGGCCTGGAAACAGTGTGGCCTTGCACATAGATGGAAGATGCAACAAGAGAATATGGGAGACAGTGGTGTGAGTGGAGTTCTTAAGTGACATTATATATGTGTGTGTGTGTGTGTGTATGGATATATACAGATAAATATAACGACACATTTTAATTTATGTGACATATGAATATTTATATATTTGTATGTGTGTGTGTGTATACACAAATTGTAATTTCTGACTTGGAGTGCTGAAACCCACCTGGGCACTTGGATATCTCTTGGAGAAAAGGAGGCTCAGGGGGGACCTTCTCACTCTCTACAACTCCCTGACAGGACGTGGGGTCGGTCTCTTCTCCCAAGTAACAAGTGACAGGATGAGAGGAAATGGCTTCAAGTTGTACCAGGGGAGGTTTAGATTGGATATTAGGGGAAATTTCTTCATGGAAAGGGTTCTGAAGCACTGGAACAGACTGGGAAGTGGTGGAGTCACCCTCCCAGGAGACAGTTAAAGAACATGTAGATGTGGCTCTTGGGGACATGGTTTAGTGATGGCCTTGTCAGTGCTGGTTTTAGAGCTGAACTTCATGATCTTGGAAATCTTTTCGAATGTAAATTATTCTGATTTTCACAGGTGACCCCTAAGGTTTTGGATCTGGGACATCAAACCCAATGCCACAGGTCAGTGCTACAAGCCCGTACGCCCAAATCCTACTTTAAAAAAAAAAAAACTAAAATAAAAGTAAACAACTTGCTGATAGTGAAAATGATTTGTATTTAACGCTAAAAACACCGAGCAGGATTTCTAAGGCGGTGCGTTTTCCAAGGAGCAGCGATCTCAGCGATGTCAGCCCCAGCTCTCGCCTCGCTGGACGGGCTACAGGTGTTCCTGCATTGCCATCTGCTGGGGGCTGCGCCAAGGGCAGCCCCGCGACCCCCGGAGCCCCCCTCTCCTTCAGAGAGCCCCGTCTCCAGTGGTCCCCCAGCGCCTGGTTTAACACCGGGCTGCTTCGGTAGAGGAAAACAAATAGAATTTGTGCCTGTAATTCGCTAGGCACAGTTTTTGCTAAAGGGTGACAGAGTTCCGAGCTGTATAATGTTCCTTTTTATCCTTATCTGCAAATAGGCTCATCTTAAAAGTACTTTATACTTCGTTATGAAGTTCATTTTTACTCTCATGGGAAAATGTGCTCATCTGAAAAAGTGCTTTATTCTTCTGATAGCTCTGTGAGCTTAAATAATGTAATACAATTTTTTTCCTAAAAAATACAGACTTTAGGGGGTTTCTTTGTTTGTTTTTCTTTTGTGTTTTTTTTTTATTTAATAAATTAAATAATTCCTAAATAAAATTAGAAATGTTTTCCCCTAAGCAATCAGGACGTTGTGGCTCTCAGGGGCTGTGCCTCTCGTGGCCATGTAGGAACACAGTGGCAAAGGCAATGACAGAGTATTTTCTGTGATTTCAGCTGAGCAAAGGCTGTCACAGTCACCCAGCTCGGACCACTGCCAGCAGCACAGTCTCCTCTACTATCCCTACAAATATAGTTTTTGTCCATTTGAAACTACTGACTGCCAGTGTTGTGTTTAGATTTCAAAACCCCCCACACTTCCCTAGAATTCAAGTTTCACAACCTGGAGCAGAACTGGATGTTCAGAGCTCTGCAGACCCACATCCAAGGCTGTTGAAGGGGTTGCTCCGAGCAGGCTCATGTGTATCAGCAGGTCACAGTTCACACAGATCCTGCCAGAAAAAAGTCTCACCCTCGCCACTTTTTACTGCATTATCAATAACTGACCCAGGTTTTTTCTGGAGGAAATTATGAGGAGAGCAAAAGCTGGGTTTTTCATCTGCTGTCCCTCTTGAAAGGGGTGATCTTTATGCCACTCCTAAATAGGATGTCAAGAAACCTTCGTGTACAGTTTACTGAGGCACGTTCACCACACTGCTTTTTCAGTATTTGATATAATTTTACCACTATGACTTGTTCAAAGAGGAAAAGTAGCAATGATTCATTTAAAAGGCCTTTTAACGCTCACGTGAACAAGCTGAAACACAGAACAGGGGTGGCTGCATGAGTAACACTGCTGAGGTCACACTGGGGCAGGGATATGTTGCTGGAGAAGCTGCAGCTCAGGGCATGGAGTCAGCACGCCAAATTCTGCACTGAGCTCTTCTGGGACACTGTCACATGATCTTCTTAAAATCAACCTATTCTTCGTATGGGCTGACTGTACCCATGAGTCTTTTTCCAAGCTGTACTGAAGTTCAAGTGCCTGAAAGTTTGTGGAACATTTTGGGAGTCTTAATAGTGCACAATATGAAATAATTGTTAAGTTTGGAAAAGATCTCTAAGATCATTGAATCCAACCACTTACCCATCACTGCCATGTTCACAAACCATGTCCTCACGTGCCACATCTATATGTTTTCTGAACACTTCCAGGGATGGTGACTTCATCACTTCCCTGGGCAGCCTATTCCAGTGATTAGTCACTCTTTCTGTGAAGAAATTTTTCCTAATATGCAATCTAAACTTTCCATGACACGACTTGAGGCCATTTCCTCTTGTCCTGTCACTTGTTACCGGGGAGAAGAGGCTGACCCCTACCTGGCTACAACCTCCTGTCAGGAAGTTGTAGAGACAAATAAGGTCTCTCCTGAGCCTCCTTTTCTCCTGGCTGACAACTCCAGCTCCCTGAGCTGCTCCTCATCAGACTTGTGCTCCAGACTCTTCCCCAGCATAGTTATCCTTCTCTGGACACACCCCAGCACCTCCATGTCTTTCCCGTAGTGAGAGGCCCAAAACTGAACATGGGGTTTGAGATTTGGCCTCACCAGTGCCCAGCACAGGGAGACAATCACTGCCCTGTCCCCCTGGCCACACTGCTTCTGATACAGGCCAGGATTCCATTGGCTTTCTTGGCCACCTGAGCACACACACTGGCTCATGTTCAGCTGCTGTTGACCAGCACTCCCAGGTCCTTTTCCGTCAGGCAGCTTTCCAGCTACTTTTCCTCAAGCTGTATGTTGGTCAGTGGGACTGTCATGACGCACGTGCTGCAGAAACTGCGAGCATGCAAAGAGGCACAAATACGTGAAACATGAATAAATATTTTCCCATTCTGCTCCAATTTGCATATTGAGCCCCAGAAGTGCAACACACCTCCTTAAAAGCATAAATAAATGGCTACAGACACTTCACAAAACTTGATACCTTTTTCTTTTAAAGACACTTCCTTCTTCCTTTTAGTTATACTTCAATATTTCCATCTCTCTCAAACTGTGGTCTTTGCACTCTGTTTTTGTCCCAACTACCTTGTAATCTTCTCAAGCCAGGGACTTTCCTTTTGCCTGCAAAACTGACCTGTATAAATAATCACTTCATAGAGACAAAGCGTTCTTTTACCATAACAGTAAAAGAAATACCCTGGAAAAGCTTGTTTTGATCCATGTGGCTTTCTTGTTCACTGCTAATAAAAGCTGACAGAAATACCAAACAGGCCTGAAGGCTGAGATCAGGCTCCTTTGGGCACTCTCCTGGTGCTGAGGGAATGCAGTGGATTTAGATGGATGACTGAGGACTTGCTCCTGTGAGTGAGTGATTGAAATGTCACTGTGGGTTCAAGCTGCTTGGTGCACGAACAGGACAGAGGAATCTGAAATGGAAACCCACAGATCAGACAGTGTTTGTGCAGTGGTGTGCAATGGCTGTGTGGCACACGTAGACCCATCACCCGTCTGGTTCGAAAGCGGCGACAACAGTTTCATGTCAGGAATGGACTTCATCATTCCCAGGTAACTGGAGGCAGCACTGCAGCTTTTAGCAGCTTCAGAGCAGTTCTCTCCGCATCCTTGGGAAAAGAATTAAAAAGCAATTCCTTTGGGTATCTGAAGCCACAGTTCTGTGCAGTCTCTCATTTGGAGAATCCAGCTTGAGCGACCGCAGTTCTATTACAGGCTGTGGCTTTCCGAGGATGGGGCAGCTTAGGCATCCATCAGGCAGAAAGAGCTCCAAAACAGTACCATCAATGAGTCAGTGGGACACTCAAACCAGTCTCTTTAAGTTGTTCAAGAAACCTCTGATAACATTTAATGTTAGAAAGCAATATTTGCATAAATGTGAAAGTGCCATTCCTGTCATTGTATGATTCAGCATCAGAGGCTGGATCCCCTCTTTTGGAAGCTTGGGGGTCTTCTTTTCCTCTGCACTCTCCTTTTCTACATGTCAACAAGCTTCAAGCTCCTCCTTTTCTGAGCCACCTGATCTGAGTCCTGCCTTACAAGCTGGCATCCCCCAGACCCCCAGAGACACCCACTTGCAGTGCAGTGGGGTGTGCTCTGGTCTTCTCTGGGTGCATTCATGTCATAATCTTAACTTGTGATGTAGACATGTATTGCCTAACACAGAAAAATGCTCATTAAATTCCAGTTCAAGCCTGCATAGATCTTTCCAAGGAGGAAAAAGCAATTTACCCTCATTGATAGTAGTCAGGTGTGTTCACATTGACGTGCAGTTTCAGGAATTGCCGCAGGATCGTTTTTAAAGCTTATTCTAGACGTGAATATAAGCTACGTGTAGGAAGGTTCTCCTTGATTTGTGATGGTTTTCCCACAGTTATTGCTGGTCCATCCAACTCACAAGTGATTATTTAATTAGTGATCTAGACCATACAGAGCACGTTCATTCATCTTCTCCTATGGCAGAGTTACAAAACCTCACAGCAGCTGAAGTGTTGTCACCACCACTATTTTACATAATTAGAGGAGGTCACCAAATACCTTTGGCCTTGCATTATTGATGGTTTAATGAATAGGCTATTTCTCCTTTGGGAACATCTGTTTAAACACAGTCTTTACCCCTTATGGGGTAGTTCAGAGCTTTCAAGTATCTGTCACCCCTTTGCTCGACTCACAGCGATGGTTCAGCATCTATTCAGCTCACATAGGAGGTCATTTTCTTTGCAGCCCAATTGGCACAAACTCAGTGACAACTTAATGTCAGTGTTTATCGTGTTTCTGTATCTTCAGACCTGAAACCAAAGTTATTTTAACTCCAAATTATTTGTAGGGAAGCTTTATTTTTTTGCCCAAGTTCCATTTTGGCAGGAAAAGAAATCCTCCTTTTTAATTTCATATCATTAAGCTGAATACAGCTATCTTAAAAGTTCAGGGGAGGTTTCTTTCTGACTGACATTCTCCTTTATTGCAAAGCTGGAAAACAAGCCCTGGCAAAGAATCATACAGTGAAATGGTGGAACTGTCTCCTACTGAGATGTTTCTTTTATAAAAGACTACAACAGATAATTTAGTATTGCTCAAAGTCTGAAACAATCCTTCCTAGAGCCATCAGTTTGACCTTTTAAATTTGTGGCGGAACAAATGGTTCTTATTTAATGTAAGAAAAGCCAGACCCAAGTCATTGGTGTCAATGGACAAAATTCTGGACCTTTTTCTGCCTGTGTATTTGGCCAAAAATACTGGATAAACTTGAGATGACCTCTGGATGGACCAAGTGGTCACATCTGGAAATATCTTGTAGGAGAACATTCCCACTGCAAATGCCTCCTTGCCAATCATGATCATCATCGATGCCTCCATGTCAATCATTGAGTATCCTGGAGAGGTGGTGGACAGGACAACGTTTCTGGAAGAATCTCTGTTCCTGCAAGGTATCATTCACTTTGAACCCATGAAGTGTAACTGTGTTGCTCTCGCTGATCTCTCAGCACAGAAGTAAGAAATGCAACTCCTTGATTCAGCAACCTGGCACAATCTGTGCACCATGAAGCTGCAGGCTCAGGCTTTGCTGAGACCAGATGTGAACTCACAGTAACACTGAACTCTGAGGCTCTGAGGGGGTAGGAGGTTCAGTTTTGCCTCTGTACTCCACAGAGTCCTGCATTCCCCTCCATGGAACAGCCCAGAACAGTCATGCCAGGGGAAATCTATGCAGGTGCAGAGGGTTGTGACTTTTGCAGCTGAATGAATTCTTCAGTGTTCTGGTTCTCTTCAGCCTTTTACCACGTTGCTCCAGAGGAAGAATGTACAGAAATACTTGAATGGTGGATATTTACCATGTTCGTTAAAAAATAGAAGGGGAAAGGGACTCAGCAACTTGAGCAAACACTGTTTTACGTAATTGTCTTTGATTTTTTAAAATAAATAAATAAATAGCCTAGCTCTGGCTGGTATTTGCCTAAGGGACTACCATGAATGAGTTACATAACTCAGCATTCATTCATCAGCTGGTTCTTTGCAAAACCATATGGCTCCTTGCAGGGATTTCTTTAAACATTATGCAAGGGTATGAAACCGGTGCCTTTGTAGATGGTAAGTCTGTTGCTTGAGGCTCATTTTGAAATTCTGTTTCCAGATAGTACAGCAATTCTACTTCTGCAAGTAATACCCTAACAGAAAGCAGTTGTTGAGGCACTTTCAATCAAATTAAGGAGAGAAATAGAACAAATAAGGAATAATGAAAGAGTAAACTGATCTAAACTTTAGAGATGAATGGTGCCATTCTCTGTGTGAATTTTACATGGAAATCCATTTTCTTTGATGAAAGGCAGTGGGGAAAGGAGAAACATCATTGAAAAGCAAGTTGTCATTGGTTTGATGTATTGAATCAGAAATAACAGAGCAACTGCAAAATGTGTGTATTCATTTACTGCAGCAAATTTGGTTGAAGATACAAATTCATTTCTTGTGAAAAGTGCTCAGTGCTGTCTTTCCCAATCACAGGAGCCAGTACACAGAGCTGCAACACCAATTCACACATGTTGCTTCCAACACATGCCTGAACTGTGGATTCTTGGAAATACTTTTCAATTATCTGACATCATTTTCAAATGGGAACAGATATTTCAGACGCCTCCCTTCTTTAGGATGTTAAAAGCAGGCACCTGCAAGGTCTTGATTATTCCCAGTGCTTAAGCAGCACTTTCAGAGATGGAGGTCTGCAGAACACTTCTAATTGAGCATCCAAAACTGAAAACAGGTCAGGTTCTGCCAAGAGTGGCAGCCTCATGAAGTCCAATAACTGAACCACACTGTATGGATAGTGCAAAGGGAGACACAGACAAATCTTTTAAGCTCTCTCTCGCCACAGGTGACCCCCTGGGCAGCAGGACACATGCCAGGGACATGCCCTTGGAACATGCCCTTGGAACACAGACACATGCAGAGGAAAATGCTAGATGCTTTCCTGCATGTGGGAAAAGACAAGGGAGTGCTTTGCTCAGCCACATGACCTGACTGCAGCAGAGTATGTGCTGTGCTTTAGGGATGTGACCCAGGTAGGTAACACCCCCTCACTACCCTCAGTACCTTGGCTTATTGCTGTGATCCTTCATCAGCTTCTCTCTCCACAGGCCGATGGCTCACCTGCAACAATCATCACGTGCTCTGAGGTTCTCAAGTGGAAGGTGATGTATAAACACAGTTATGCTCTGACACTCCCCCGAAAGTCTGGACAACTGGACTCTTTTCACCATTGTGTTTCCTTCCACCTTTTTTTAATATAAAATTATATAAATTTTATATAAATTTCTAGATGGATTTCCATGTAAAAGCCACACAGAGTGGCATAGCTCGCCTTTAAAGTTTAGGTCAGTTTAATCCTTCAATAACCATTTTGCTAGGGCTCCTCTCACCCCTGCAGTTTTATAAAGCCATCACCATTTCCAAGTCCTGCAAAATGGAGCACACTGCTGAGGTCCCCTCTCAGTCATCTCTTCTCAAGGCTGAACAGGCCCAGCTCCCTCAGTCTTTCCTTGCAAGAGAAATGCTCCAGTCCCTGAAGTTTTCCTTCCCAAAGAGAACATCCATAGCTTACACTGCTTGAAGCCAAACGTCACAAAGCACTGAGAAAAAAAAAAACAACACTGTAGTTTTGGCTACACATTTGGACTGTGCTTGTTTATTTGCTCATTCCACCATATCCTTGCACCTGCATCCTACGAATCCATGGTAGGGAGCTCAAATTGCGTTTATGCAGTATTTGGAGCCCGTGTGAGAATGGCATTCATTGTGAAAACTCCGTATGGACCCTTCAGGCTCTGGATAGCGGCTGCTACTAAGAAAATTCACTTTTTGGACGTGGGGGGGGCCGGTTACAGGGTGCCATGTCCCCAGTACAAGAAGTACATGGAATTGTTGGAGGAAGTCCAGAGGACGACACGAGATTAATAACAGGACTGGAGCACGTCCCTTGTGGAGACAGGCTGGGAAATTTGGAGCTGTTCAGCCTGGAGAAGAGAAGGTTGTGTGGAGACCTCAGAACAACATTCCCGTGTCTGAAGGGGCTACAGGGAAGCCGGAGAAGGACTGTTCACCAGGAATTGCAGTTATAGGACAGTAGTAATGGGTACAAATTGAAAGAGGAGGAATTTAAATTAGATATTAGGACGAAATTCTTCCCTTTGAGGGTGGTGAGGCACTGGAACAGGTTGCCCAGAGAAACTGTGGATGCCCCATCCTGGGAAGTGCCCAAGGACAGGCTGGATGGGGCTTGGAGCAACCTGGTCTAGGGGGAGGTGTCGCTGCCCACGGCAGGGGGTTGGGACGAGATGATATTTCAGGTCCATTCCAACCCTTAACATTCCATCGGGCACATGGTGTGACTCTTGGGGATGGCCCTGTGCAGGGCTAAGAGTCGGGCTCGATGACCCTTGTGGGTCCCTTCCAGCTCATATTCTGTGATCTTGTGGTTTTATGATTCTATGGCAACGGGGGTTTGGGGACAGCAAGGGGTTAAATCCCCTCTCCAGCCCCCAAACCCGGCCGCGGCTCCTTTAAGGGCTCCCCCCGCCCTTCCCCTGTGGGCGCTTCCGGGTGCCGGCACGTCACGTGGGCGGGGCGATGGTACGCGCCGGGAGGGGGGGCGGGAAAGGGGGGGATGGAGGAAGGTACCACCCGCCGCGGGGCGGGGGGGGGAGCCCCGAGGGGCGGGGTTTCATTGAGGGGCGTGGCCTCCTCTGAGGGGCGGGAGCTCAGTCCCTGATGGGCGGGGCCATTGAGGGGTGGGGCCTCCCGTGAGGGCCGAACATGGCGCCGCCCAGACGCGCCGGGGCCTGCGGGCGCTGCCGGAGCCCGGCCGGGGCTCCCCCGGGCTGAGGAAGGTACCACCCGGCGGGGCGAGTGTCCCGGCAGCTTCGCTGCCTCGCTGCCGGCCGACATGGACCAGCGCCTGGCCGAGCTGGTGGAGGAGCTCACCACCTCCGGGGAGCCGCGGCTGGAGCCGGGCAGGATGAAGGAGCTGAAGAAGATCTGCAAGTACGGCCGCAGGGAGGGAACGAGCAGGGCCCCGCTGCCTCTGCCCGGGCCGGGCAGCCGCGGAGCCGCCCCAGGAGCCGCCCTGGGCCCCGCTGTGGGGGGCTGGGTGCTGCCAGCATAGACACTGCCGGTTTAAAATTTAAAATAAATTTAAAAAACCCGCGAACTTCTGTTTTTCTGTGCTGAGCCTCTCGTTAAGTAACTCCCGCTCCTTTTCCTTCCTTGTCCCCCTGCCCAGGTCGTCGGAGGAGCACATCAGCCACGCCTTCCACCTGCTGGTGACGCGGCTGCAGGAGGAGCACGCCGAGAGGCGCTTCTCCGCCTTCCAGGTGGTGCAGGAGCTGTTCGCCAGGTCCCACCACTTCAGGACGCTGCTCATCGCCAACTTCCAGGAGTTCCTGGAGCTCACGGTGGGCATAGACCACGAGCAGCCCCTTCCCCCGCCCAAGGAGGTGGCGCAGAAGCTGAGGAAAGCGGCCATCAAGGCGGTGCAGGACTGGCACGAGAAGTACGGGGAGGCTTACAAGCAGCTTTCCCTGGGATACCACTTCCTAAAGCGGAATAAGAAGGTACTCTGCACTGTTACTCCGCTGTGTTTTTAGGTGATGATCGCTAGGAAATGTTTAAAGCAAGGAAACTGATAAATACTAAAAGAAAACGCAGTTGGAAGTGACGTTGCCTGTAGGAGGCATCCTGTTGAGCGTCATCTTTGGAAAACAAACCTTTTCAGTTCATCCTTCAAGACTGTAAAGTTTCACAAGCCCCAGGCTTGTGCTCAGAGCTGGGCTCAACCTTTTCTCAGGGTGTAGGAAGTATTGCTTTCACCCACTGAATCCTGCCTGGAGCCCCAAGGTTTAGCCCTTTTTTGGAAGGGGAATAATGGTTGTGCCTTAAACTTTCTCTGCCAGTTTAAAGTAACCTGATTTCTGTACTGAGCTGTCCAGTTCTAGCTTCCCTTTGCTCTGCAGCAGAGACAGCAAGTGTGGGTGTTTACCCCTCTCAGCTTTAGTGTTACTGTGCCATACAAGAAGTTTTATTAAAGAGAAATTTCTTGTATGTAACAACTTGCTTTTAGATCTCCCTTCGAGTCTTCAAGTTAGTGTTTGGAACATTCTGCTGCTTTAGTATGTCTTCTGCTGCACAAAAAATGAAATTGGGTATGCTATTCTAGCATTCACACTGTCTGTGATAATAACAGGCTTTCAATAAACATACTGATTTTCTTTCTCTTCAGAAAGACAGATGTTCAGTGTTCCTAACAGTACATCAAAAAACCTTTGTGATACATGATGTATTTCTGTTGTTCTGGTTCCACACTAAATTTATCATATTCCCTACTTACTGCACTGTGCTGGCTTTTTAATACAGTTTTTGGCATCTGCTCACAAAAGATGATTGTCTTGGGATTCTCCTTTTTTGTCTTGTTTAGTAAAGAAAGAAAATTAAATGACAGTGGCAAGGAGAAATGCAAGACTGAGACAAGAGAGGTTAAATACATAACACAGTTCTACCCAATGGAACACAAGTGTACAACAATTCTGTGGAGTCTGGCAGGTCTGGCTGTGCTCCTGTGCTCAGTTAGGACTGAGGGATCCCTCCCCCTGTGATATAAGCTCCCCAGCAAGGTTTGCTGTGCTGTTTTCTAGAGCAGCTGAATTTGAATTCCTCTAGAAACATTAATATCAATAGAAGCAATCTCAGGTAGTTTGGTAACTCTTGTACTTAAAGACTTGATGTGAACCAACTGGCCTTTTGCCAGCATAATACTTGGAAGTGTGAAAAGCAACCCAAAAGTTTGAGGAGGCATTTTGACTTCCTAGTAGTATGAAGTACCTCTGCTGTTGTGTGTTACAGGTTTGGCACAGTAGTATAGGGCAACTTAGGAGAAGTGTTAGCTCTGTGTGTGGTTTGTGGGTTTGGCTGGCTTTTTTTTTTTTTAAATTATCACCAAAATCATTTTATAAACAGTCAGAAGATGCTCTCCTACTTCTGTGTGGAGAGCTATGCAAGCTTGATAGAAGAATCAGATCCTCAAAACCAAAGGAAGCTCAGTGGTGATCCATGTGCTGCTGTAGGCTGTGAAACTAGTTCTTTTCCCTACCATCCTTCAGCCCACCCATTTCCCACTAAAAATAAAGAGCTTGGTGAGTGTGCCTCTCTTCCTAAACTGATGGGGACTCTCCATGCCAGTTTCTGTGACAGCTATTACATAAAAATCATTTATGTGGCTCCAAAACTTTGGTGTAGGATGTCAGTATCTGGGAGCCATTACTGGACATGCTGGATCATCTAAGAGTGGCAATTATGACAAACCTTCAGCGAGTGCTTGTGCTGTAAACATTGCACCAGAGAGTCTGTGGGCTTCAGCAGCAGCAAAGTACAGGCTTCCTTAGCACTCTGTGTCATCTGTGTTGAAGTGAATAAAAGTTATGTGGTAGCAATCAGAGGATTGCTGTATTTTTCTTCTTCAAAGGGGTTTCCTTATGTGGTAACACAATCAAGACTCCCTTCCTTAAAGCAGGACTGAAAATATACATTTTCAAGCCCTTCTAAGACCAAACTTGAAAAAACAAACAAACAAAACAAAACCAAAAACCCACACTGCAAATATTTTAAGAAACACCATTTTGAGTTGTTCAGATTTATGTTTATGTTCTACTCATAAGAAAGTGAGACTGAATGTTGGCTTTTCCCCCAATCCCGAAATCCAGCAAACGTAATTGTAAAATCACAAATTTGGTCTTTTTTTAATGAATTTGAATGTATTTTACTTTCCTTGCTTGCAAAGTTTAGTAAGTGAGATGTATACTTGTGCTGCTTACAAATTTTCCTGGATTTCTTTTACTAATAGTGATCTAGTGTAATGTGTTCATGTAACCTTAATATTTACCCTGCATAGTTTCTTCCTGCCCACTCTCCCTAACTCCTTGTCTCCAGTGCTGTGACAAAAGTCTCCTAAAGCTTAATTTATTCCTGCACTTCAGGGGTGAAAATCTGTTTTGTTTTTCTACCTTATGATTCCTTTCTGAAAGCCATTGATTCTCAGCAGTCCCTTATTAGTAGAAATAAAAGCTCTCTTCAGAATTGCTGTAGTTATTGATTCAAGGAGGAGAAAAGATAAAAGGAAATGCTGCTGAGCTTCTGGCTGATCGCTGATGTTAGAGGATTTTTCACCACAGATAAGGATCTTAGGAAATGGATTTTCTATATATTTCTTACGAGGGATGTTACACTTTTTTCTTCATTTCCTCCTTAGGTGGATTTTCAAGATGTGCACGCCAGAACCGTGGCTGAAAGGAGGAGGGAGGAGGAGAGGCAAAAACGGTTGGATAACGTTTACAAAGAAAAGGTCAAAAGAACTGAAAAAGAAATGGAAGGTCAGTTACTTCAGTTCTTCTAGTGGGTTTTTGGTTTGGTTTGTTTTTAAAGCAACCTTTTTTAAGATTACATAAAACAAGAGAGTAGCTATCCAAATAATAGCTGACCATAGATGGTTGGAGCGCATTTGTTAGAGCTTGACCCTCCCTCTCTCTCACCTAAGGAATATCAAGGGAAACAAGTGACCATCCTGTGAGCTCAGGTAATGTGAAGAGATGGAAAAGAAAGAAAGTGTTATCAAGTGAAAATCTGGTCTGTAATTCAGTCAAGTATGAATGCATAACCCCAAGCAGGCATATCACGGGACTTTTTGGAGCTAGTGGCTTGATTTCTGTGTCATTAACTAGGCACAGACTTCCCAACACCTTCTGGGCTGATGACATTAATTATATTATATATACAATCATTGGTTCCAGAAGTATGGGCACGGGAATCCTGGATATAGTGCAGGATACCTATGAAAATTATTATACTGCAGCTGGAAAATATATGTTTAACTAGGGGCTGGGCCCCTGAGATATGTGCATAGCAAACTCATTTCTGTAATCCCAGAGAAGAACACAGATAGTATGTTATGCTGCAGTTACAAAGGGTTATTTAATTAAATTACTTTAGTATATGTAATGCATCCAACTGTGTCTGCATTTATTCTGTATGCTGGAAATATTTTCAAGCACGAGAGTGGAATTTTAAAGATATTCAACTTTCTTAAAGTAATTTTTATCAGTAGCATGTCTTTGAGCAAGAACATATATTCATGCCTACACCTATGTGCAACTATAAAATTTACAGCTGTAGAATGAATACCCACCAACATCACTAAGAATATCCTCACTGAACCTTGTTTTCTTTCAAATTCTGTGAAGTACTTGTGTCATCTTTACATACTGAAATTTTAGAGAGGATAGGGAAAGGCGGAACCGTGATTCTTGCTCAGGAAATTCTAGATTTCCTGCTTGAGAAAAGTATTATCACTTTTATAAGGACAGTTCCTGCAGCAGAGGGAGATCTGTATGGCTAAATCATCACTGATCACTGGATAAACAGATTCCCTTTGGCAGTCATATTTGTTTTGTATCTCAGTGTCTGCTTTGGAGACATTAACATTTTACAGTATTTAACAATATTCTAAAACAATTGTCTTGATAGAAATGTCCCAAGAGATTGCTGATACACTGACAGAGATGGAAAACTGTTTCCAGCTTCTGATGCCAGATCCTTTCAACTTTGCTGTGAACGACACGGAACTGGAACCCAACAAACAAATGTCTGCATCTCCCTCATCCTCCCGTGTGGAAGTTGACCAGTCCTGTTTTGGGTACATGGATGATGAACAGCCGTGCTGCAGCAAGGACATTCTCCCTGTTTCTCAGTGTGTCAGAACTGAGGGAAACAAAGAGTCAGATGAGAAACAGGAGAAGCCTGAGCAGAAAGAGTTGGATGGAGGCACACGCTCGGAAGTTCAGTCCAGTGACCCTGCTCTCGCTGATGATGATTACCAGACTTTTGTTAGGAACCATGGGCTTGTTTCACACAAGTACACTCTGGACCTTGAAATCTCCTCAGGTACCTGGAAAATTTTTTGACATATAGCTGGAAGTGCTATTTTCACACTTTATGTGAAGTGCTTTGTAGTTGTGCTCTTGGGGTTTTTTCTATTACTTAAAGGCTGACACCATTTTGCTTTGGGATTCCTACATACCACTTTGATTTATTTTGGAGTTCTTTTTCTATTTCTGCTTCATCTTGTAACTGCTCTGAGAAATTTTGGGTATCCTTGTGTGTGAGTAACAGATTTTACTAATTACCTTCTCGGACTGAAATTTTGTATCAGTAGTTGCAAGTGCATTACAGCATTTCATAGTCCCAATAATAAGATGAGTTTCCTGTTTTAAAAAAAATAATCTGATTACCATATGTAATTTGCTTTCTCATATGCTTCACTACTCCCCTCTTTCTGTAGCTGGGCTATAAGCTGCTACTTTAAAAATCTTGCAGTTGAGTGTTTCTTAAACTTTTCTTTTTCCTTGCTACTGACAGCTTGCAAGAAGCAGTATGTAGTTTTGCTAGGAAGTCTTGTCTTTATATAACTTTGCTAATGTGAATTACCTCTAGAAAAATTAGGATGTTTTGTATTTTGAAAGTATCCTACAAATACCATCCTAATGGAATTTCATGTGCAGACAGTAAGGAGGGTTATCTGCTTCTGTTCTTGCTGAGAACAGAATTGGAAATGAATCTGTGGGATTTATGAATGACTAATGTGAAAAGTATAATTTCTACTTGGATAGTGGCATAGTTGGCTTCTTTGACAATCAAGTCCCCATTTCCACCAGGGCAGGGATTATTTTATATTGAGTATGCAGAAACTGGAGAAATAAGGCCCAGCTCCTTTAAACTTAGGACAAGGTGTAATGTAAATAGTAAGGCTGAACTTGTTTGTGGTTTATTTGGTGATTCCTTAGTAGTGATGGTTTAACAACTCTTTCTGCCATCACTGGACTGAAAACTTCATCTTTTCCCTGGATTTTTTGAATATGTGGATAATGGTAGAATAATTAATACTTGACAGAGAAGCATTCTGATGTTTGTACCTTTCCCTGAAGTGATCAAATATTTTAGACAAATTAATGTCTACCTCCATGTACCTTCTTTAGCTCCTACACTGAAGACACATAAACATCATGTGCTGACTCTTTTTTTCCCCTGTTTTGAGCAGATATAAAAGTGCAAGAGAATGAAGATAACACTGCCATCATAAACAGTGTCATGGATGCTCACAAACTTCTCAGAAATAAGTTCTGGCCTTCTGTGCAGTCCTGGATTCAGGTGGGATAAAGAGACAACTTTTTTTTTTGTTTTTCAGTAAAAAGATGGTAAAGCAAAGACTGAGGTGCAGAAGTCTTGAGGGAGAGCGAGCCAAAAGGAAAATAAGGCTGAAGAAACATAGGAGCAACTAGAAAATATTTCTCTTTCAGTAGGGGTGGACCAAAGGAGGCTGCAGGAGCTATGTAACTTGTTTGATAGCTCTCAGCCTTGAGTGTGGTACCGACAGTCAATAGTCTGTGTTCTGTTTTTTTTTTTTTAAGATACAGTAAAATAGGGCTTTTTGCAAAGAGTTAAAGTAAAACACAGCTTGTTTTTGTCAGACACCTCTCTACCAGATAAACAGTATGCCCTGGAGCCTCCTGCATGGAATTTGGCCTGTAGAAGGACTGTCTCAGGAGATGTTTGTAACAGCTGTTCATTCTTTGTTTTCACTAGTTGCTGTTGGTTTTTATATTCTGTATAGGAAAAGAATTGGAATCACTAGTTATTACTTGTAAAACGAAGGAATTTGTGACAATGTCATTTCATTAATTATGAAGGAAAACTAAAAATTTTGTTTTGCTCAGATGTCTAGAAAAATGAGTAAGAATGTTGTTTTTTTCCTCTGCAGTTACTTACCAGAGCAGGAGTCAATGATGATCGGCTAAGATGTGCCATTGAACTCAAGAATAAACTGGAGACTGCTATGAAGAAATACAAGGAAATGAACATTTCCTTCAAAGCAAGAAAAAGAAAAGTGGTGAGTTTCTTAAAATTCTGTTTTACTGGAGAGGACCATTAGTAAAACTTACCTTGTATACAAAAAAAGCTCTTTTCTCTTAAGCTCTAATCTGGCAAACTTTTCAACAGAAGTTTTATTGAAAAGTACATTAATTTAGCTGGTTGTAGCTTCACTCAGGGAAGTTGCTGTAAACACCTGTATAATACACCATGGGCCTGGTTATTAGACAAAACCATTTGAAGCATCCCTCTTGTTGTTTAGGATAGAGAAGTGGTTAAGTGCAGATTTTATTTACTCTTAGTTCCTTCATGTATAACAGTGTTATGTTCTCAGCTGCTTCTGTGCATATTTCTCAGTAAACACTGTACTACTCATGTTCTTTTTCAACTTGCAAAACTATATGAGGGTCTGTCAGTTTAGTAAAGAAGTTTCTCTGCCTTGCAGCATTTACTCTCTCTAGTAAGCATGTGATGTGATTGAGGTTACCATAAGAGAATTGGTTATTATATAAGCTTTAGAGCATTAAACTGTTTCACAAAGATTAACTACCTATGACAGTTCTTGTGAAATAGATAGAACTTGTGAACAGACAGAGGCTGGAAGATCAAATATGTTATTGAGATCCAAAAAGGAATCTAATGGCTTGTTTATGTAACTAAAAAGCAGAGCTGCATAATACTCATTTCTGTTGGCTGTGATCAAACGAAATTACTGTATAGCTTGACATGAAAATAAGTGGTTTGGGTCAGGGTTCAGACTAGAGTCTGGTTTGGATTTACTGGATTGTAAGAATCTAATCTGGACATTATCCTTTGGACTACATTGTGGTAGCCTCATTTAGCCATGACTGAGTGTTGCAGACTTTGCTTTCGTTGTGCAAATGGAGCTTAATCAAGATTAATCTGGTTCATCATCTTAACACCTACTGATGTGCCACACCAGTCAAAAATGCCAACTCTGAATGAAAAGTACTGAAAGACTGTCTTGTCAGAGCTTTTTTTTCCTCCAGTGAAATATGTGTGCTACCTTTATGCAACCAGCTATGAAGGAATCCAGACATCTGCTGTCATTCCTGCCATTTGCTTGACAGGGCTTCATTTGCTGCACCTCTGCATGGAATATTGGTTGCTATATTTCTTACAAGATATAAAGGACATTCAAGCCTTGATTTTCGTGTGTGTGTGTGCACGTGCATGTGGATGTGTTTGAAGTGGTATTGTTACCACTTCTGGAGAGTGATCAGTGCTATCTGTATGTTTATATAGCATGTTTGTAAGTAATATCTCTATTAGTTTGAAAGCTAATAAATTCCCTTGTTAAAAGGGAAAAAAAAGGAAAATAATAGCAGTGCTCACAAAGAATACTTTCAAAATGAGGCTATGCAGATTGAGTTAACTTAAGCATTGAAAACAGTATATAATTATACCTAGGGTTTTTCTCCAGTGGAAAACAACCAAATTTAGTGTTAGTGCTGAGTTATTTTAAATTTATAACCTGAACATAAAGAGCTTTGTACTGCAGACGGAAACTGTATAAATTATATTTTATTCATGTGTCAGAAGACTTTATTGAAACGTAAAAACATGGTAAATTGAGAGTCTGATAGAACAAAATAAACAGAATCTCTTAGACCATGGTTATTAAATCCCCATCTGTCAAATATTTACATGTCAGCATATGAAATACTACACACAGCTCTTCTTTAGTGCAGCACTGCTGCCTGTGTTATGTATTGTGGCTCTGTCTGTCCTTGTGTCCTTGGAGCTGTAGCTCTTGCCACGCCAAAGTTTTACTGCCTTCTGTGTCTTTAAACCCCGGGGAAGAAGTGCTGATGTTCTGTCTGTCCTTCAGAGCCCTGGCTCTGAGCCACCCTGTCCCAACAGCATGAGGCATTATGATGTTATTGGTGGCACATGGAATCAGTGAGTGCTGCACCTGCTCAGTGTGGAGATGAGAAATGAAGGGGAGCATTTATAGCAAATACAAAACAGAATTATCAGGACTTGGGGACTTAGGCTTGCCCATTCTCCTCAGACTTTTTACATCTTCTTTGTGCTCAATCTCCGTGTTTCTGTGGTCACTAATTTTCCCCCTTTTCATCTGTTCTTTTCTGTGCTTTGTGTCTGTTCTGTCTGGGAACAGAGGGAGTAAAGGCTTTTCCCATCCTCAAACTGAGATTGAGAAAGTTGATAAAGTGAAGGGTTTAGTGAGAGACAGTGAACCTGGAGATTTGTTACTGTGAACTCTAACTATCAATCCCACAGAGATTTAAATTGCCACTTAAGAGAGAGAAGGTCCTGAAGTCCCTTACCATCACCTGTGGCTGAAATGCAAATAATTGTATATATCTGGAGTAACTCTTGATGCTGCAGTTTAATATGAATATACCACTAGTGTAGCTGGATATAAATTATACTGCGAGGAAGAAATCGCCTACATTCACAGAAGAATCATATTTTTTTTTTGGTGCACAAGGTGTGTGCTTTTTGCAATCCTAATTATTACATCCCCCAAATCCCAAATCTTCGTTCGCGAAGCCTAGCCATGATTATTACATCCATACTTTCCATTGTTTCTTGTTTCATTTTCCAGATCATGGAGCACTAGCCTCCAAGGCAGGACTTGTGGGCAATCACAAACCTGTTAGAAAATTAGCACAAATTATTTTCTCTGGAAGTTTTTTTTACCTCTCCTGAAAAATGGAAAAGTCCCACTGCTTTGCAAAGTACAGAACTTTCTGTAGGTTTATGGAGCTTCACTTCCACAAAGTCACTTGAAGGAAAGCACAGGACTTGATACAGTGAGACACTTTGACTTAAAATGGTTTATGGTGACATGAGCTATAACCACCTCTTTCTTTTCTCTTCTGTGAGAGTGAAGAACTCAAACTATCAGAAAGCCTTAATTACAGGGAGGGCCATCATTTCCATGTGACACTGAGACCCTGCCAGCACCAGTAGCCTGTGGCACCATTTTGCACTTGCCTCTTAGGAGCAGTGGCAGGAGAGGGAAAAGAAAAACAAAGGTTGTTCTTTGACTGTCTAGAAACAAGTCCCTGGCAGCAGATTTTATAATTATTAATACATTTCTGCTGCCCAGAGATTCCCTCTTCCCCTTTTCTGTGCCCCCAGCAGATCAGAAGCCATCAAGACATTTTTTCTGAGCTGTTACTGTTTCAAATGGGTGGGAGGTGGACAAAGAATGACGGACTGGCTGTGTTGGGCAAAGGCAAGTGGGTTTTTGTGTGCTTACACAAGTGTAGTTAAATTCTTGCTTGGGTGAATCAGGTTTCTGACAGAAGTTGCACTTTGGGAGTATAAACAAGATTTTTGAAATCCATTTTTCTGTGAATGTGTGTTTTAGCGGAATCCAGGGGGAACAGGGCGGGAGCTGTAGAAGGGCTTTTATTTCGCGGTACCTGGATGCTCGGACATATCTATTTTTCTCTGAATGCCTGCTCGGGATAATTCCAGTGCCCAGTAGAGGGAGTGCATACTGCATGCTCCACGTTTTTCTCTGTGCCACCTTGATCCAAAGCCAGTCATCAGCTCAGTCTGTGTTTTCAGGTAAACTTATACAACAGCAATATACCAGAGACCTTTCAAGTTAATTCTTGACTCGATTTAGATGAGTTATTATACAAATACAACTGTAATTATTGGCTGAGATTGGTGTAGATATTTCTGTTTCCAGAGGCTTAATTATTTTGTAGGAATAACTTACTTACGGCTAAATTGTTCTCTAAAAGTATTTTTGCTAGTTAAAAATCATTCTGGTTTTTGATGTCTTCCTCCTTTTCTTGAAATACTAGATTTTAATTGTTTTTCTTGTTTAGTGCCTGATTTGCAGCTGATAAGATGCAAATGATCCTGCAATTTTAAAAGCTGTGAGAGGACAAGTATATACTGTGTCTTAGGTCACGCACACTACCTTTCACTTACATCCTTTCCATAAAGGATTAGCCATTAGGATAATACTTGAAGTCTTGACATTGTTGATAGAAATGTAGCTCATTAGTGGTATTTTGTACTCTGAAAGTATGGCTATCTCTTATGTAATTACTTTGGGAAGCTGTGGAATGTTTAGTACTCAGGGTGTCTAAAACTTGGACAGACAGAATCCAGTAGGAAAGATGTGTGAGAAACATCCTGCTCGTTTGTCTGTCAGCAGAGTGGTCATTTAACAAGCCTGTTACGTGTTGAATTTTAAATTTCAAGTTACATTAACAACCAGGGATATATAGTTTTTCATTAACTGTATTCATTACTTTTTGTTTCACCTTTCCTTATCTTCTGTCAAATCTGAGCGCGCGCTTGGATCTTGATTTATTCGTGTACTTAATTTTATCCATGTGAAACATCTGGTTGAACTCAATAATGCCATTAATAATTAGATCTGGAGGAGCCTGTCCTTGTGTTGTCCAGAACCTGATCTGATACTCAAACCTCACTGTAATACAATTCAGATTTTTTTCTGAAAGAGTAATGTCAGAAAATGGCCACAAATTTACAATTTAAATATTTGCTGCTCATAATTTAGTCTTAAAATATTTTAATACATTAAAAGGTTAAGATTTTAATATGTTGTAAATTAAACCAAGAGTTCTACCAATTACTTGGCTATGAGACCATTGCTGCCTTTTTTTCCGTATATTCCACTGCAGTTTGGCATTTGAGCAATGCTAACAAGTTATTTCTATCTAATCATTTTGTAGCTTTATAAACAGCTCTTCTCAAGTCTGGCTTTTAGTTAAGTCATTGCCTCCTTTAGAAAAAAAAGAACTGGACTTGAATTTTCTAAAATTCAGAAGCAAAGGCTGCGTTGTTTTCTCTTTTTGCTTCTTTCTGCAGCCATAGAGAATCCAGTTCAGCTGACAGCTTTCTGTAACAGCTTCTTGTACTCACATCCCTGTGCTTTTTCCTCTTTTCTTCATGTTAGAGAAGCTGTTTCTGGAGGGTGAGTAATTGTCCCTAGTAATCCCTCACAGTGCCTGAACCCACATCTGCTAAAACATACTG